CAACTATTTCTTGGTGTGTCCCTCATTTTTTCAGCCAAAACCATAGGTCTTTCAGGCGGCCCTTTCGCTCTCAAAAACAACGTCGACTAAGGCTCGAGCAGCCGCCACCTCTGCCCGCAAAGGGGCGCCTTCGCGCAAGGCTCGAGTGCCCTGGGAGGAGTGAATGTTCAATAAATGCTGACCCCATATAAATCAACCCCAGTTCAGTAGAATGCGGGTTTTTGGGTTTAGTGGGGAATCATCACTTCTGGAGGGAAACACTCCCTATTAGTAAACGGGGTTGATTAATATCGGGTCAGCATGACTTCCCAAGTTCCCTAAGTGGATGGGCCGAAAGAGAGCTAAACTTTGTGCCTCCTACCAACATGGTCCAAACCAAGTGACGAAAGTCCAAGAACTTGGGGAGAAAATTATGAAGACCCCCCAAGTCGACGTTGTTGGATGCCCATGCCCCCTTGTGAATTCTGTCTTTCAGAATGTTAGAAGAGAGGAACAATTCGTGGTAAGCACAGGTGGTGCCTCAAACTCAGTGCTTCGGAGAACCCTTTTGGTAAGCGACTCCCTTGGTTTGCTGTTGGTCACCTATGTGCAGCTAAGGGTTCACATGCACCCTCAACAGCAAGTTCAAAGCTTGGGTCGAAGTTGGAGGTTGCCAGGCTAAACCTGAACCCAACAGCCTGGCCACTCGACAAGGGGCCAATCCTGGGTAACTGCACGCGAAAGCATTTAGAGCGCGGAGTGCAGTTGCCGCTAAACAGCATCACCCAAGGCATGACAAAGTTGGGGATCCAAGGTGCTCTTTTAAAACCTGAACATGTGGCACTTTGCCCATCTTTCCCACCCTTGTTACCCGTATTTGCGGACTGCGATGACTGCTCCGATGCTCTGCTTGCCACTGCCATCCACTCACAGAAGTCTGCCCATCTGCACGGGCAGAGTAGCTGCGCGCACTGTTTGTTTGTCAAGGCTTTTTGCAAGATGACCCTGGCAAAACCAAGTAGCTTAGTCAATGTCTTCCCTAGCACCAAGGCCATACAGGCTCCTTGCTCAATCCTCCTGTTGTTTCCTGAAGAAGGAAAACAACTCGTTGTGAAAGTTATAAACTACTTGGCACAGTTGTCTTTCGGACAAAACGATGACTTGACCTGACCTGCTGGACTTTCCGACCAAGACAGTTGGGTGTCTACTAAATAGGCAAGTGGGTATGTCTGTCTCATTGGGGAATCCCCAGAAAGGCTGGCTACCTGTTCGCTTCCTTTCAAACCAACCCCCCTTACTTGGGTACCCTCCAGAAAGTATGGCGCTGGCCCACTTTTTTGTGTTTGTTTTGTTTCTAACAAAAACCATACGGCACCTACCAGCAGAGCCGGCGAAGCCGGTGGGCGGAAGTTTCAAAAATAAAACTATAGTTTTCTTTCTCTTGTCTATCTATATATAAATCTCTATCTTTCTGTCCATCTACCTGTCCATGAAACCATCCCTGCATGCATCCATCCATCTCTATCTATCTCCTGTTTGATCTATCTACCTACCTGTCTATGTACCTATCTTTTTCTATCTTTTTATCGATCTAGATATTTACCTATCTCTCCATCTATCTGTCTGACTGTCTGTCTGTCTCTCTATCTATCAATCTTTGCCTCGCTTTATCCTCTATCTCTCTATCTATCTATCTGACTATCTTTCTCTCGTTCTATGTATCGATCTATCTATCTATCTATCTGTCTATCTTTCAAACTATCTGTCTATTGATCTATCTATCTGTGTATTTGCCTACCTCTCGCTCCACCTATCTATCCATCTATCTATCTGTTCATCTATTCACCTATCTACATATCTATCCACCTACCTATATGTCTATCTCTCTCTCTCTCTCTCTCTCTCTCTCTCTCTGTGCGCCTAACCTTACGAAAGTACAGCGCCTGCCACGAAATCTGCACTTGACCTTGCATAAGTGCAGCGCCTGCCACGAAAACTGTACCTCGCCTTGCGAAAGGTCAGCGCCTGCCACGCAACTGAAACCTCAAGAAAACGTGGGCTTGCGAAAGTGCCGCGCCTACCCCGAAAGCTGTACCTCGCCTTGCGAAAGTGCAGCGCCTGCCACGCAATTCAAACCTCAAGAAAAGTAGGCCTTGCGAAAGTGCTGCGTCTGCCACGAAATCTGGCCTTGCGCAAGTGCTGCGCCTGCCACGGAATTCAAAACTTGCGAAACCTTCGCGTCGCCGTGCCAATGGGCCCGCGCTCCGAACGTGTTCCGAGACCGCTCCGAACGTGGTCCGAAAGTGGTCTGAACGGGGTCTGAACGCGGTCCGACCAGGCGCCGCGAACAAGCTAGCTTTCAGCTCTCCGGACATGCCCGTTCACGAGCTGGGCCACGCTTTGCTTGTGTTTCGTTACTTTCCAATATGCTTTCGGGCCACCCGTGGTTCTAGTTTTGTGGCGGTTGACCACAAAATATCTACTTATCAGCAACGGTCTTGGTGACCTGTGGAGGGCGCAAGTCCTGCCGTACCAGCTATTGCATGCCACCAGTAGAGCCTATGCTTTTTGAACAATTCTATTCTCCCACCACACGCTCGCACTTTTCCCTCGCGCGCTTATTCATTCTCTTGTCATCTCTCTCAAAGAGCTAGCTTTCAATTAGTTGCCCTAACACGGAAGTTCCTTCTAAACTTCCTTTGATTAGCAAATGCAAAACTTGCTTATTTTTGATGTTTAAGCTAAACAACCAAAAAGAAACAAGTTTTGATTCGGCTTATAGGCAGGGCTTCGTTACATGGAACCCATTCAAAACAGGTTTTGTTGAGTTAAACCAAAAAGAAACAAGTTTTGAATAGGCTGGCTAAACACAGAACAACATGGGAACATCACCCACCAAGGGGAAACTCAGTAGGTGATGCGCAATACCACATGGAACGCATTCAAAACCCCTTTCGGGTTTCTCACCCAGCCCTTCTCTTGCGCCTCCGGCCGCCGAAGCCTTCGCAAGCTCTTGGCCGCCCTGCGCCGCGTCCTCGGCCTAGCGGTTCCGCTCGCAAGCGCGTGCACGCGCAAGCGGAACGGCGTGCGCGCGAGCGATTGGCATAGGCAAGCCCCAAAACCCCCCAGAAACCCCGGTGGAGATCCCCAAATGGGACCCAAATCCCACTAAGGTCACTAGGGGTCTTGCAGCCATGGCGATTGGAGTAGAAAAGTGGTTTCCTTGTTTGTAGCCTTGTGGGAGAGCCAATTTAAAAGGTTGGGTCCTTTGTGGGGTTGCAACAAATCCTTTTGTGGGATTGGCACAAATCCCAACAAGGCTAAGGTCTCCTTTCCAAAGTCCATCATTCAAGGAGAGGAAGTTGCATACTTCTCCGCAGATTTCACACCAAATGAATCTTCTGTGGCTGGTTTGCAACCTTCAATCGTGGTACATCAGGAATAGCTAGATGGTTCCCATACCGCAATATCTCCCCGGCCAAACCTCTGCCTGAAAACGCAGGAAAACCACGCAAAAACACTCACAACAAAGCAGCCACAAGCACAAATACAACACAAACAACTCAGCTCCAGACTCAGCCTCAAACTCAAGCGAGGGGAGCGAGTTCGAGGCTGGACCATCAAGCGTCCCAGATTTGACACGTGAGTGTGGGTCAAAAGTAAGCCACCAGGGGGCCGCAGGTTTTTAGTCTTTGGTTCCCTTTATTTTGGGTACCTATTTTTGACCCACAGCCACATCAGCCTCACGCCATGTTTTTTTTCTTACAATTAGCTTGCATGCGAGTCATCCTTGGCCAGCCCCCGAACGTTTTCCGGGTCTTAGCCTGTTGCAGCTGCATCGTGCACGGTATTGCTCCATGCAAATTTGCCAGATGACTGTATCAACAAGACATTCATCTAAATCCGCTTCATGCATGAACATTTTGACCCTGCACATGTTTTTGTTGGGCTATCTAATTGGTCGTGGCTCGGTTACCTGCAAGTGGCAAGCCCGAAGCCCTTTGCATAGACCCCCCCAAATTCACAGGTGATGGTGAAACAAACTCGAGTCAACTTTCGCCAAGGTGCTGGGTCCATAGGTTCAACGAATTGGGTTGGGTGGCTTCCTTCATGCGGTGTCCAACCCTAACACGAAGAAGACACGGAGGAGCGCGCAACAAACACCTGCAGTGCCTGTGAAGCATGCCGGTGCTCTAAAGCAACTGGACTGGCAGCGATCTGCGGACAATCAAGGTTGATTGCCTGCAGATTGCTGCTACCCGGCTACCTCCTTAGGATGTGGCAGTCAAGTTCATGAAGAACTTGCCAACGCTGCCTCATCCTCTCACGCGATCAATGTGAGAAACGGGCCCTAAGAAAGGAACTGTCTGACTTTCATCATAAGTCAGGTTGTAGCCTTCCGCTTCCGAGCGTGTTGCCAGCTGGAGGTCCACCCGGCTACTACCGCTGGAAGCCACGTCTGCGTTCTAAGTTCCAGGTTGCGTGTATCGCGCACAGCCTCTTCACACATCGTGGCGTGCCGGCGATATTAAAAATACAACTTTGAATATGTATACATGGATGCTTGTATAATCTATTCATGTTGTCAACTTTTGTATCTCTCTATCTCTCTATCTGTATTGTAGGAATGCATATGTAAACACTTTACTTTACTTGAATACACATGATTTCCATACAAGTACCAACTCATTTGACACATGGTGTAGCATCCTTACCTGCGTTGGCGTACCAGAACACAACACACACACACACATGCGATCCATGTCCTCACGTGATTGCACACTTCAAACATAGGAATGCTCCCAAGACCCTGAACCAACATTTGGCACTTGGCAAAGGGACGCAAAGAACTGTTGGTGGGCGCTCAGTAGGGAATGCCCTTCCATGGGAATGCACCTGTGGATTCCCTTCAAAACCATAGGATAGAGATGCGTGCCAATCTACCCTTGTGGTTTGATGGGCACCTTTTTTGGGGTGCCACCTTTTTGGGGGTCCCCGGTACTTGTGGGCTTCATCTCAGACTAAGCACTTGCCCCCGCCTCCATCGCCTCCAGCAGCGGCTTGGACGGCGCTGCCCCTGGGGCGTGACGCAAGTTGCAATGCTTGGGGCCTGGGCGTATTTGTGTGTGTGTGCGCGTTTGTTTGTTTGTTTGTTTGCTTGTTTGCTTGCTTGCTTGCTTGTTTTTTTGTTTGTTTGTTTGTTTGTGTGTTTGTCTGAGTGATGTGTGTGGGGGTGTTTGTGTGTGTGTGTGGGTGTGTGCGTGTTGTGTGTTGTTACGTGTTTGTGTGTCTGTGTTTGTGTGCTTGCGTGTTGTGTTTGTGTATGTGTGTGGGTGGGTGTGTGTTTGTGTGAGTGTTTGTTTGCGTGTGCTGCGTGTTTGCGTTTACATTGGTGTTCGCGTGCGCGCGTGCGTGTGTGCTGTAACGCTTGCGAGCTGGGTGGCGAGCAGGCATACTACCACCAAGTCCTAACAAGTGCGTGGATGGCCTGTCCCCCTGCAGCGCGCAGGTTGCAATGCTGCAGGAATTTGCAGCAGGCTGCTGACTGAGAGGAGGCTCGGGCTAGTGACAGAGCAGGCGAAACTCAGCCCTGCGCACAAATGGGGCAGAACTGGCTTAAGCAGTTGTGAGTGACCTCTTGTGCGGTCCCTTCGCATCGTTGTCGCCGCCGGCCATCGCTCTCCGAACGTACCAGATCTTTTTCGACCTCCGAAGTTAGCCCGCCACTGGCCAGGGGGACTGGCTGGGAAGTGCCTAGATTGCTGTCGGCTTTTGGTCGTGCTGGCTTGAAGAGGGAGGCTCAAGGTGGGGTGTGAGTCAGTGAGGGGGCGAATCTGAGATAGAATTGTCTTGAAGAAACAGTCGCATGGTTTTGAGGTTCACCACGGGATGGCTTGAGCGGTCCCGGTGGTACCTGGGCGGATTATACTGTCTGAGCAACTGACCGTTACTCCATACCATTGCCTTTGAAGAAACAAAACGGAGCCTCTGAAAGGAAGCCCCTGGTCTTGAAGATCGTTTTGGAAGACTTGTCCGACCTGAAAAAGATCTGTGCCAAATCGCGGAAGCATGTGCTCGAGATGTTGCGAGAAAAGGGCCTATGCAGCAAGCCCAACAAACATGCCCTTGTGTAGCATGCTGTCAAAGTTTGGGACAGAAGAGACGGACGTCCATGAATCTAGCTGAAACAGGTCGCTGATCAAGGCTGGTATTCCATGATATGTGGAATCCGACGTTGCTAGTGATGCTGAATGGATATGGAGTTCACCGACATATAAAATAGCTTCGACACTCGAATCATGCAAGCAGTCGCTCACATCTCGAGCGAAAACAAGGCCCTCTTGGCCGGAAGAACCCATGTCAAAGCACCTTAAGTGGGGTGCGTTAATGATTCCCTTGACCGGGATCCTATCCAAGCTTGATTGAAACCACAACTTCCATTTGGTTAAGACCCCTGGAAAAATAAAACATATTTCCAGGTTTTGATAAATTATGTTTAAAACCAACAAGGGGAAATAACAAATATTCTTAAGCAAATGGAAGGCAGCATTCAAGTTCTGACGACTCGATGCCTGAGGCTACTGCTGCAGGAGCGAGCTGTTAAATGATGGCCCATGCCACAAGAAAACAAACATGGATTATTCTGACGTTTCTCTACATGGGTCTGTCTTTCTTTGGGGGTACGCGATTTGGAAGTGTGTCTTAAAGGGAAACCAAAGGACAACGCGCCATTTGGGAGCAGTCACCTAAAAACAAGACACACCCACATATTGCCGGTGAACTGCAACGCTCTGCACTTTCTCCCGGCGGCCCATGGTTGGACGGCTTACAACTTGCTCAGGCCATCCACGTGGCACAACAACAAGTCGAAGATGGTTGGGACTTTGTTCTCCGGGTATATTTCCACATGTACTTAAAGCCAGTGGAGTTCTACATGCAACGCTTTGGGGCGCAGCAGGCTATCTCTGGCCCAACACGATGAGGTGTCTGCGAGTCTCACTGCTGGGGTGGGGCCAAGCTGATAAACATGCGAAAGCCACACTTCAGCTGCTCTCTTGGTGGCGTGGATCTCTGGTTTGCTGGTGAAACGGGGTGGTTTCCCATTTACCCTCAAACAGGGCTTGCCTTCTCCACTGACACGAACAGCTTCCCTTGAAAAGGGTTTCTACGCTACCACGGGGGCTGCTTATTTCTGGTGGAAAAGGCAAACCATGGCAACTAGGTCTTCCAGTAGAGAGGTTAGAATAAGGGTACCAACTTTTTCTTCTGCAGTCTATTTTAGTAGGGGAACCCTCCCAACCAAACAACAAAGGGCACTGCCTAGCCAAATACCAGGGGTTGCCTGAAAAAAAATGCTGGAACGATCGCTATCCTCTCGTCGCGGGCCTAGGACAATGCGCAAAGCACGCGTCGCCAGCTGGAGGCTGTCCGGACCATCTGCCTCATCGCCACGTGTTTCGCCCAGAAGAAACCGAAAATATCAGGGCCGCAGCCGCAAACAAAACAGGGATCCTTAGGAGGGAATTCCCTGCCGTGCTCGGCCCTACACTCAGAGCCCCAGTCTGCAGGCGGCTTTTGGGGGGATTGAAAAAGGAAGGCCACTGGGGTCAATGGTTTAACAGGGATCCGGATGCATTATACACCTGAACATTGCAACTTGTAAGTGGTGGTTTCCAACTATGTTTGGGTGTTAAAAAAAGACTTGTCTCAAGTGGTTGCAAAATGGAGATCTTTTCAGGAGCTCTGTGCAAGAAGCATGACTTGCTGCGAACAAAACCACCATGAACGCCTTTCCAGGCCTGGCAAAGAGAAGGCACATCAGTTCAGCCAGCGTCTAGCGAAATGGCTGTGGCTCCAAATTCAACACCGCTTGGGCGCAGGTTTTAGCCTTTGGTTCCATTTACCAAGGTGCAATTTTGGTACATGTTTTTGAGCCACAGCCAAAGCTCCAGTTTCCGGAGGATGCAAGAGCTGGGCCTCCAGTTTTGGCCAACTCGGAACGCGCCCAGCGCTTTTCCAGGGCCCCTAGGAACCGGATCGCGGTCCATTTGGCTCGTTTTGAGACGAGCCATATGGCGGGAAGTGGAGGCGGTGTCTGTTGATTTAGGACACAAAAAAAGGTAGGAGCCTCAAAAGCAGACCGGCCCCTAAGCGGCGTGGCTTTGCTCCTGACACAATCATTCTCCATGATTTCTTGCGAGGATGTGAGAGAGCACGTGTTCTTTGTCACGGTCCTCGCCGGGACCATACTGCTCAACAGACCATACACGTCAAGAAAGTCAAGAACGTGCCTGACTTGACCTTGGCCATGCCTATGCTTTGATTGCTGCGATTGCCCCATATGGCCATGGTTCAAAACCAATGGTACCATTTTGGGATAGGTGCACCACCCAGTTTACTCTATTTAAGTGGGGATTGGGATGTTCACTGGGGGCACTGGGTTTTGACCATTGGCCATATTGTGATTGCTAGCCTCTCCATGCGCATTGCAAGTATTCAATCCAGCCATGCTGAAGCGCCAGCAAAAAATAGCTTCTGTCCCAATTCTTTTGATCTTTGCATGATGGGCTTGCACCATGGTACACCAATGAGAGAGAAGGCATGGCGCACCATAAATTTGACTGAAACTATATTTCTCGCACCCCGACATGCAAAGGATTGGTCAGCACCCCTTTCATCAAGCCTGCGTTTTGCGGCAGATTTCGTCGTTCCAAATGATCTGAGATGGTTTTGACTGCCACGATATAGCCGCTATATAAAGGGTATACACCCCAATTTATTCTGGAAATAGTGGTTTGGGTGGAAACAATCGTAGAAATTAAGTTGGGTGCATCTCTTCTCCTGGGGATGCTGCGCTGGGTGCGCTCCTGACCTTGCGATTCAAGCGAGCGGAAGCGGCTGCAATGATTCGTGCAGTTCTTTGCCTGTCCCGCGAAAAGCGACACATAATCATTTTGGGGCCGCAAAAATACAAATGGATCAACCTTGATGTAGATGTCCTAAAAACCTTGATACTGGAAAACAGATTGATCAGCCCCCATGCAAATGTCCCGAACTTTTGATATGGGGAAACCGGATACCTGGTTGCTAGATCTATGGAGAAGAAAACAAATCCACGCAGCTTGCCAACTGAAGTGCCACATGTCAGACTGCACCATCCCGGTGCAATAGGAGACCAAAAGAACGCCACGCCATATGGGGCTCGATGCGTTGACAGGCTCGGTGGAAAGCTGTTGCCAGTGCGTCACCCCTCTTATGAAACAGAAGAAGGGCCCAGTGTTACAGTAGATATGCAAACTCCTTCGAGCTGCGCAAGAAAATCTTAACTTTGAACAACCTGGTGCAGATGAGGGGGTTGTAGCAAACTGTGAAAAAGGGGCGCAGCATGTCTCCAGACAAAACCAAATCCACAATTCCCTCAATTGTAAAGGCACAAAACATACGGTAGTATCCCTTTCTAAATCTGTTGTGTCTTGCCCAGTATAGCGCTTTCAACTCCCGTAGGCTAGTGTTTTTCCTCACTCAAGTTGAGTCGTTCGCAGGGAGCACCCAGTCGCTGTTTGCAGTTTTTATTGCTTTTAAACAACCACCCAGCCCAAACAAAGTCAAAAGGCTCCGCGCGTCTGAGAACAGTTGCCACTGGGTTTGATCCTAGGGCACCAAGTTGATGCCTCAAGCGGGGGGGGGGTCATCTGCGCATGGAAAACGCGGTCATCTGCGCACGCTATCGACAACGTGACATTTTGGCATTCCACGCACGTGATTTCCGGTCATCCGCGCACGGTGTCCGGTCATCCGCGCACGGTACCCGGGGGGGAGGGGCGGGGAAGGGGGGGGAAGGGGGGGCAAGGCAAAAAGGGGTGGTAAGCTTCGATGTTCACGCGAACCAACTCACGCACAATGGGGGGGATGGGGCTGACTGGATGGCAAGCGTGGTGTCTGGAAACTCGAACACCCTTCCGGCTTCTGATGTCTGGAAAAAACAATTCCCTTTCAAGGGGAAAATACAAAGCATATTCCTTTCAGCAAATGGAAGAAAGCAGTACTTCTCGCAGCGCTCCCGAGAATCTGTTTTGCCAAAGAGGGCCCTAGGGTTCCTTGCCCCCGTTTAAAAGAATGGCCTTGGGGCCCAATTTGGATGATGACAATCCTTGTAAACACTGGTGAAATATGAACCCCCATGTGGTAACTGAACCCCAGGGAGGGGGTTTCCAAACAAAAAACGCCTCCGCCCCGCATGGGCTCCCGGCGTTGAGGACAGTGGCCTGCAAGTACTCCGTGCCGCGCCGCGTGGTCACACCTCGATTGGGTCAAACGAAGGTTCCGCAGGGAGAACGTGGAAGTGGATCAACAATGTTAACCCCGGATCTGAGTAGAACCCTGGTTGATTTTGATTGGGGGGTGTCCAATTCCTTTTTATTGGGGATTCAGACCACTTTCGGAACACCCCCTAATAATGGGACGGGTTTATTAATCCTGGGTCAACAGTACTCCTGAAACCGAATGACCATGGGGCATAACCTATGGCTCCATTTTGGGGTGGATGACCATCCATTTGCCACCAATTTTGATGTTCACCAGGGGTACAGGGTTTTGCCCCACAGCCATGTGGGAAAGTCATAGCTTTGTTGGGAAGATTTTCCAACCAATGGTCCCATGTTCATCGAAGCTTTTGATCAACCACAAGCGGACCATCTTGACCGAACCTACGAGTGCTCCAATTCAGCTTCTTTTTGGACACCGTAAGGCCTAACATGAAGCCAAAGCCACGCGCAAGACATGTGTTGGACTTATGTTAGAACCACCCTTGTGTTTGAACCAAGGACTTTGTGAGAATGAGTTGTCTTTTTCAAAACTAGCCGCAGCAAAAGGAAATGGCCCTACATTCGAGTCAGGGTGGCTGCGGCTTCCTCTCAAATGGGAAGAAATGTCTTGAGCTGGTAGAGGGAAGTGGAATGAGGATAGAAAGGGAACCAGCCACCTCTACTAATCTGGGCTGCCCTCACATCCCCCGCTAAAAGTTTAACTTTTAGTGGGTTAAATGGAAATTACCACTAAACACTAAAAGGCTAAGGCCAAAACGCTAGAGGAATGGCTAGGAGCCACCAAGTTTTTTGGGTGGCGATTGGTTGGCTTGGCGGCCTTTATGAGTCTTATTCGTCTGTATGGCCGCTGGCTCGTGGCGAGTACATGGGACGAGGAGAGATAGCCGGAGATAGCGTTGATTCCAACTCCCCAGGCTTCTACGCTTGGAAATCGAAGTGAGGGAGTTGGGAGATGAACATTTTCCATTCTCACTCTGATACCCATCTCCAACTTATGATTTAGACAGTGAGGGATGGGTGGTGCGACAGTGAGCCATCTTTTCACATCCATCCTCCACCTGGTTCTCCATCTGCAATTGGTGGAGAGTGGATATGTCTGTCACCTCTCCCTACCAATAGGAAGGAGGTGACATAGGAAGGAGAGTGTACCAGCGCACGAAAATCCGGCCGCTGGGGCATCTCTTAACCTGCCCATGTTTATTAGTAATTTTCTGGGCTGCCCGTTTTCAGATCCCCCGCTAAAAGTTTAACTCTTGGGTTACATGGAAACTGCCACTGAACACTAGAAAGCTAAAAGGCTCAGGGGATGGCTGGGAGCCACCACGCTTTGGTTGAGCAGGATCAGAGATGAGAGAAAGGAAAAGAGCGCTCCCTTCCTAGGTCCTCCAGTAGAGATTATAGAATAAGGGTACCAACTTTTTGTTTCTGTAGTCGATTTTAGTAGGGGAACCCTCCCCCAAAAAAGGGTGAGAAAGGGCACCTAGCTGGGGGACCCAGCTTCTCATCGCGTACGGTTGAGCCATTCCTTCATACCCTTTCCCTCGCTCGTCAAGGAATGCGCCAAGAAAGGCTGTCTCTTCACCGCTGAAAAGATGCCAAATGGCGAGAGCGGAGAGAAGAGCTGGATGGGACCATAACAACAGGTGAACAGAAGTGATGCATGAAGAAGGGGCCATTAAGAAAAACAACGGGGGAACATAAAATAACATAAACAAGACGGGCAATGATAAAACTTACTGTCAACAAGCTGGCCTTTGTAACCAGGATGGTGACCCTGACCAATGTGCCATGGATGGCATGGTCATGGCTCCCGCAACAGCAACTTTTGCCCCTAGAGGTTGATGATCCCTATGCCGCAACCCCTCAAAAACAATATTGAGGTACGTATCTAAATTATGTGACTCCCACAAGTTGAGTTTTTTTTCTTTGGTTTCCCTTACAAGTTCACCCAACACTCAAGAATGACACTCCAATTAATATGGGCGTGTCTGTTTTGAGGGTACCCGCAAAAAGCGGTTTTCAAGGAAACCAATAGCAAAACCAGCATCAACCACCATTTTGGGCCCACTAGAAAAAGACACACCCTGGTCGGATCACCCCATTCGCACGCAAAAAAAAACCCTGGGGCCCCTACGGATACACCGCAGGAAGGCTAACGGCTCAGGTGCGACTAGGATGACCTGGATGCGGCCGGGAGGTCCGGTACCTTCTCCAATCGGGTCTCGATTTGGGTGTTGTTTTTAGGCTGGGTCCTCCAGTAGAGAGGTTAGCATAAGGGTACCAACTTTTTCCTGCCGTCTATTTTAGTAGGGGAACCCTGCCGACCAAACAAGGGTGAGAAAGGGCACTGGGCGGACCCCAAAAAATGCGGGTTGTCCACTTTATTTTCCTAAAATCACCAAAAAGGGCACCTCAAAAACGACACACCCATGTTGACCTGCCACTGACTAAGCGGGCGGGATTTCAGCTTGCTTGACTGATTATGTTGTTCCAACGACGTTTTGTCCGGGAGTCGTAGACCCCGGAAGGAACTAACCTCCAAGTCTTTCTCTTGCCCTGTTTAGGAGAAGCAGTCGGATGCCATCTGCAAGTGTCACCAATCGGCTCAGACATTTATCAAAGCTCTCAGCTGCCGGCACCAACAGAGTTCACCTTTTCCAGATACCGAAGATCACCTTCGGGTCTCTGCCCCGCATCCCGGAGGTTGCCATTCAGCCAGATCCTCTGGACATCGTTGCTCAAGGCTGCAGCGCCCTCGCCGTGACGCAGCGCCAGAGCTACCCGCCCCGGCACCGTCTAAGGAATCCCTGGCTCCGCTTCAGCACGTAGCCTCTGAAAGTCCAGGCCTCCGGCCGCCAGAAGCCACCAGCGTCACGGCACCCAAGAGTTGATACCACTTGAACTTGGCGGACGTTGGGTTTGGGGAGCAAACAAATTTATTTGTGTGAGCAGTTAAGTGGTTGGATTTCAACCACGAAAAACCACAACAAGCAAACATGTAAAATTTGTGTCCAAACAACAACCATGTTAAAGTTCCACTGCGGCAAGACCACGCAGTCCTGCGGAAGGGAAAAGTCTTGACGGCGAACTCCCTAGAAGTTGTCGCGGAGGTGCCACAAAGCTGGGCCATCCGTTCCAAGGGAGTCCTTGACGCCCTATCTCCTTGCTGCGCAGTGCTCGAAAATCCGATCCATAAGAGCGTTTTGTCCTTCTCGCGCTGCTTGCCAAGATCTGCTTGCTCTACTCTCCGCCTTCAAAGCAATCTGGTGTCGCAGTTTGACAGCTTGACCATGGCTTGGAGGAGAGGCCCAGCGGCATCTCTCCATTTGCGCACGGCTTGTGGGTCTCATTGCCTGAGATTGTGGGTCACCGTGTAGGAAGGAAAAGCTTTACGGGGCGTTTCCTCTATGGTGTTGAGCACCAGCATGCGCTCGTCCTCTGTGAGGTAGCCATATGGCCATGGGTCGAAATCCCGCATCCCCAGTGAACATCCCAATCCCAACTAAAATAGGTTCTAAAATGGGTGGTGCACCGAAAACCCCACAATGGGATCCGATTGGTTTTGACCCGCTGCCACATGATTCCTCCAAACCCTCCTTCTGAGGCGGAGAATTTCGAGGGCTACCTCACAGAATCCGAGACGCCATCCTGGTTCTCTCTGGGCTCTTGCGATTTGGGTGTGGGTCAAAAATAGGTACCCCAAATGGCGCAAGCCCTGGTGAATGGAAAGGACGAAACCCTGCGGTCCAATTCCTGGTGGTTTAATTTTGACCCATACCCATTTGAATGCTTCTCCGAAGGTCAAGTTCACCGCGGCCCTCTTCTTCAATCAAGTCCAAGTCTTTCACAGCTGATCCAGGCTGCTCCAGGCGGGAACACTTGCTGGTGCGATAAGCAGGGAATGTTGGAATGAAATCAGGGATTCCCTTAAAGGAAACCACCAGTGGGATGGTTTACATGGGCAGTTCCCTCATTCCCTGCTGGGCACCAAGAAATGGTGAATGGGATTGCGTACCTCCCCCGCCCATGCACGCTGTGAAATGGCGCCCTAAATCTTGGATCAGCGAGACTACAGCTTGAGCCAAGTCAGGCCCTCCGTCAGGTCGCAATCCCATCCGGCCATGACCGGATGCTCGATCCGGCCATTCGCCTTCCTTTCGGAGCGGCTTCCGCAAGGCCGGATTGACATGGTGACCCAGGGATTGAAAGCTGCAAGCGTCCAGGTCCATTGTTCAAGTTGGACGCAACGTCAAAATGTCCAAAGGAAACAAGGCCAGCAATCATCTTGAACACGTCAAGCGTGCGCATGGTATTTCAGTAAACACAACACATCTCTTCTTAGTGGGTTCCCAATCAATGTCATCCTATGTTCATCGGACCTTTTTGTTCAACCCCGCGCCCGGGGAAACTTTCGGTTTGTATCCCTCCCTTTAGAGGACCCCCAGACTTTGCCACACGAAACCTTCCGCTGAGGTGGCCACCCGCACGCCAGAGACATACGCCCGAGCCACCAAATCCTCGAGCTTGGAAGGTGTGATAAAGCCCACCTGAGCGCTTCACTCGCTGCGAATTTCGCGAATCGGTTTGGGTGACTTTGGTGGAGTCAGTCATTCACCAATTCAGTGAAATACTGTGGATGGAGAAGATTCTGCACTTGGGATGGGTGAAACCTTGTAAATATTTGGGTTGAATGGGTAAACCACCTGTACTAAGTGCTGTGAGATTTCGTCCATCCACAGTGCCTTCAGAAGTTTGGAGCACCTTCCAAACGCGGCACCGCACAAGGCCTGTTGATTAGCCTTGCTTCCCCGACAAAAGGCACTGGGCCGACGACTCCCAGCAAGACGATGATTGGAAGCTTTGGCGTGCTGGGGCCTCAGTTCGAAGGGACACACGCACACAACACTCATTGAACACCTGGAACACACCCGGAGGGGGGCGGGGGGTCCCCATAAAAGGACAAATGGGGCCATAAAAGGAATTCTTGGCTCCCCCAATTCCATCTACGTGGGGATGACGACCAAAACTAGAGGTGAACTGCGGCCGGCGCTAGCTCCCTATGAACATGGGTGTGGGTCAACAATTGGTACCCCAAATGGAACCGCTGGTAAATGGAAATGACTATATAAAATCTGAGGTCCCCTTCCGGAAATCTGAGGTGCTCTTCCTCTGGATGCCCTGCGGGTCGGTGCCCCAAAGGGCAAATGGCAACATGAAAGGACACATTTGCAATAGACATGGCATTTGCAACAACACCTGCTTTTGCAACACGATCACCTCCAAATGTTTGGTTCTTACTACCAATAAAACTCGGCTGATACACGCACACAGAGTCATGGTCAACCTGTGGCTCCATGGGAAAAAGGCACACGTATTCTGGTCTTTAAGAAGGGAAACTGATTGCTCTGCCTGCAAAACAGGAAATGGACGGGAAGGCCTGGAGCAAAACTGTAGTCCATTGCCGTTGGCTGCCTACCATCCACTTGAACTCAGTTGCCCAGTTCGGACGCAGAAATAAAAGGTGATCAACTTTTGGGTCGCCATGACTGCAATCTCAAGGGGGATATTAGAAGATCAAATGCGTCGATTCGCTTTTGCAAGAGCCACCCTTCGGTTTGCGTCCATTTGGTTCCACCTCCTGGAAATACATGAGAAAATAAGTCCAGTAGTGAAATCGATTCCCTTGAATAAAACAACTAGGTCCTCCAGTGGAGAGGTTAGAATAAGGATACCCTTTTTTTCTGTAGTCTATTTTAGTAGGGAACCCTCCCCCAAAAAAGGGTAAAAGGGCACCACTGGGGGACCTAGACAAACAAGGGACAAAACCAAACATATTCTTAACCAAGTGCAAGTTTGGGCAACTCAAACGGGCGCAACGCCTCTGGGTCCGCATGCCAACGCGCTCCAGAAGTGCCTCCACAGGAGCCAGCACCTGGCCAAACAAAGCCAGACACACGCAGAAATGCAGATCTAGAAACACCAACATTCATAAGCACATTGATATAATATTCATTCACATACGCCCGTACATGGATAGTGACGCACACGCGCAAAACGCAATAAGTGCACTCCCGCGCAGGATGTAAACATCCCCCCCGAACTTCCACGTGCTACATACTGATATATTTGCTGGAACCAGTTTCACTTTGACACCGAGAAGGTGCCTCGCACGCCTACGGCATCTGCATTGACACCAAACAGCCCATGCAAACCATCCGCCATGAAACCCTCAAATTGGTGTTGGGCCACCTTTGTCTAAAAGAACTCTCAACCACTCTTGCTAAAGCAACCTTGCGGTTTCCCTGTGGAAGCCAGTGCCAGACTTCACTTGTCGCCCCCTCGCTTCAACCTGCGCGAGACCCCAGGACCCGACGACCCGACGACCCGACGATCGCGACGATCGCGGCGCGCCTGCCGTTCCGCGTGGTTCAGCCGAAAGATGTGAACCCCGTCCATGGCGCCGTAGTGTCGCTGCACCAAGGCCTGGTTTTCAGACGGAGTCCGGCAAAACCCTGCGGCTCGGTTGTAACCATTGAAACAATGGGGGTTCATATAACCACCCGTTGTTTTAAGGATTGTCATCCGAATTGGGTCCTTGCCATTCTTTTTTAAAGGGGGTTGAACCCCTAGAAAAAAGCAGTTTGCCAGGATAGTGGTTACGAGGGTTTCGAACGACTCACCAAGTTACCTTTCCTTGCGTCTTTGGTTTGTCCAACTAGGTCCTCCAGTAGAGAGGTTAGAACAAGGGTACTATGTTAACCCCTGGGGTTCCAAAGGCGGTTTTTTTTGCATGTTTTCTGTGAAAGGCGGTTTTTTTGCCGGGAGTAGTTTTGTCCAAGCTCAGCTGATACCATTGAACAATTCAGTCGCGGCACGTGCTCAGGACCAAAGTGTGCAAAGACTTGACCTCCGTTCCCGCAAAACAAGCGGAGGGATTACCAAAGGACAGGCTGAAACACATAGATTCACCGGTGTCAAAATTCACGGCAGAAAACGTGCTTTCACGCTGGAAAACAGGCTTTCACGCCAATTTCACGGTATTTTCACTGTGATTTCACGCTACTTTTGCGTGCATCACGGACCGCTATGTTCACACCAAAATTGTTGTGTCAAGACATGTTGGGGTGGAACAGGCTTTGTAGAATCTAAACGTGGCAACAGTATGAATAATCCATCAAATACCACGCCATGGCTCATTGCAGGCGCAAGAAACAGGCTTTAGCTGCAAAAAACAGGTGAGGTGCAAAGGACGTTTAAAAAACAGTCGTGGATTTCCAGGGATGTTTTTTCCTTTTTGTCTATTTTAGTAGGGGAACCCTCCCCCAAAAAAGTTGGTGAGAGAGCTTGCACCAATTGCTGGGGGACCTAGCCAACGTGGCCGGGTGTTGTTTCCTGTGCTTCGTTTCCCTGCGCCGAATCGCGCTTGGCCCTTCCGCCACGTGGAAATTCCTGGTGGTAAGCGCAGCGCCTCATCAGAGGCCACCAGCAAGAGGAGCATCTCTTGTCGCCTTGGGCCGGTGTGTCAGTGTATATATATATATACACGTACATACATTGTGTATATATATATATGTATATGTATAATAATAAATCATATATATATATATATATATGTAATACTGTGGATGGACGAAATCCTGCACCACTTGGAAACCATGGGAAACCCCTGTTCGTTGGTATTCTCAGAGGAATCATCATTCCAGGGTTTCTTAGGTGGTGCAGGATTTGTCCATCCACAGTATGTGTAAACATGAATTATATGGGTTGGACGCGAAATCAGGGACCACCAAAAAAATGCAGCTTCTCCCCCCAACATATTGATTGAAAGGGAGGTGGCCAGGATTATTTATGTTAGAGCGGGACAAATCAAGCGCTCGTGCACTTGCACCTCATGAAGCCTATGCCGCTGTAGCCAGCAAGCACACTGTACGGTGCTGGCTAAGGCCTCGTCTGACCAGATGCACTGCGCCATTCTGCTTCTCGCTCCATCCAGGCCTTGCAGGATGTGTCACGTGAAACTTCAAGTACTCGTTTCTCAGCCCAGAAAACCGGGAAATACAAGGTGAACCTATTGAAACCTTGACTACATATGGACCAAATCAAGGAAACCCAAAGGTGAAAAGGCAAGTCGGCAAGTGAGATATTAGAAGCTCCTGGCTGTTTTCCGCGTGCAAGCTAGGCCATTGAGGTGACAAGACATCTGCGAGAAAGAAAGTGGGACGTGAGAGTTCAGTTTTCCGGTGGTTTCCCGCCGGCTCTGGTCGTATTCCACTGGACGTCATTCTTGTGTGGCATGGCATGCATGGCGATTGAGATGGCCATCAGAACCGCGGTCTGGATTGCAACCTTAGCTTCCCAAACTGATATGCCACCTCCCATCATTGATTTGGAGAGAAGCTCCTTTGGCTGTAGGACCCTTTTTCAGTGGGTCCCACTTCAATTATCAGGCAAGCCAACAGCCGTGGACATTTGGCATTTGGCTGACCAGTGCATGCCGGCATGAGCCGCACTGGTCTCTTTCTGCGTGTCGTTTACGAGTTGGTTGTGCCGTTCCAATTGGCTGTGCTTACATGCGAGCGTGCTTTGCGTGCGTGGTTGGCCATATGGAGGTCTTGCTGTTAGGCGGCCCTTACATAGCTGCCAATGGCTCGCAGCATGCATATACAAAGTACATGTGGTGTCCAGCGTATGTTTTCCGGTCATGTAGACATGAATGCCCCCGCTTAGGCACAAATCACTAGAGCAACATTGGTATGGTCCGTACATAAATCGAGAAATAAACTACGTAAACATGGGTGTGCCTTTTGTTGGTGGTACCCGTTTGTGGGTTTTTACAGGGAAACCACAAGGAATATCACCCATTGCACTGCACCAACAAAACGTAGCAAAATGGCACCTTGGCAAATGTAACCAAAGACTAGAAACTGCGATTTGCCCTGCCCTAGCTCTTTAATTTCGAGCCACACCCAACAAGCTGAGAGGCAGAATATCGCCAGAGTAAGATCAGTTGTGTTTGCTCGCCAAGTGGGCAGTGCACCTAGGCAAAATGATGGCAAAATGATAGGGGCCTGAAAGGCACGGAGGTGGAGCTTCTCAAATAGTGGCCCCCAAAATGCCAACATGACTGTTTGCTGTTGGTTTCCCTTTAAGTACCAACCAGGAAACGCCCTGCCATTCTCTCCAACAGGGAAACCCCAAAAACGGCTCCAACCGGTTCTCCGTCCCAAGAAATAAACCCGTGGATGTTATTTACTCCAAAGAAGCCTAATGGGATCATGGGAAACCTTTTTTCAGTTGCCCAGTGGGCGAACCGGGTTGACGGTTCGAGCGAGGGGGCTCCATCCCTGTCAACGCTGCGCCGTTCTCGGTCCGGAAACCGCTGGGGACCCCAGACGTGCGCTTCTTGAAGGAATGCTCGGGCCTGCTCCAGGTTTTTCGCCTCAAGAGCCCGTTTTGGGCCAAAAACGGGACGTGGATTCAGCCGGATGGGTGTGAATTCTAGTGAGGGATCCTCTGGTGGACATCGTTTTCGTTGGGATTTATGTCCACCAAAACATTGGGAAGGGGTTCCTCCACACCCAGCTTACATGGGGATCTTTCAACCCCACTCAATTTAGGTTGAGAAATCCGTCAAAATTACAGTTGTGTTGGCCATGAGTAGGGACTTTCTAGCAATCTACAAGGGCTTCATTAGGGGTTGTTAACATTCTTGAGCTCATGGAAGTCTGCCAGACCTCAACCAGCCGCTACTTGCCATTGATGCTCAACACAAGGATCATATGTTTGGGTTCTTTCGGACTGAGACGAAGTCAGCCCGGAGGGTCCCTCAGAGACACGCCGCGAGCTACTGCCTTTGCGGGCAAGCTAAGGCCTATGCCCAGTCAATACGCTGGCTTGGCTTCCTGGCGCTGCGGCCGACTGCAACTGCGGCAGTGGAACAAACCCCAACGCCAACCAAGGTCCCAAGACAACGGGAAATGGCTAAGGCGGTGGCTGGATGACGAACGATAAGTTCAGTTGCTAAACAAAGACAAGAACCTGATTGCCAAACCACTTCAAACAGCCAAGCAAGTCTAGGTGCTTCCGGTGTTGCCTAAGTCTATCCCAAGTGCATCAATTCATCCGATGAGTTTGATGGCTCGCGTCACGCCGCTGCGCTGCCTTGTTTGTGCCCTTGCCAAGGCCAAGTCCAAGCCATCCTCAGCGCGGCAAGCCAGTTGCTTGAGCAATCGGCAGTTCCGGACAGCTGTACGGTTCCCAAACAAATGAGGGATGCAACCTGCTTGTCGTGCAACGACTCTGAAGTACACTGATGAAGCGACTTCCATCAAAAGCCATATCGAAAGCAGGAGCTATTCCAATGGCCATTGATGGACAAAAAGGCCCAAATATCAGACTTGCAGAAGCGGCTTTGATCAAGTCATCTTCGCATAACCTACAAGGGCAGTGACTTGAACGCTCATTATGTGCAACACTACGGACTATTCCAACATATATGCACATGCCTGTATTTTGGGGTACCCCAAAGATGTGGTTTTCCTTTTGGTTTCCCTTTAAGCCAAGCAAAACTTTGCACAGAGAATGGGGATCTGGACTCTCCAGTTTGGAACAAAAAGCAAACACAAGCATACATTCACATTCCCAAGGGCGCCCAAAAACACAAACACAAGCACCAAAACAACATACAAAAACCACCGCCGCCGCCTTTTCCCAGGAACATGTCCCATACCTTGGTTGCTGTTGACCCCGCAAAAAGTGAGTTTCACTTTTTGGAGGTCAAGTGGAAAACCTCAAATGATCTCAACCAAAAGGTTAAAGTCTAAAGATCCGTTGCCCAGCAGCAGTCATACGGGAGCTTTGGGGCCCGCACCAGGGGGCTCAACAGCTCCGCATCTTGCATCTGGCTGCAGCACAAGGTGACTTGGCCCAGCCTGACATGGCGTGGGAATCTGAGCCAGGCCCGCAACTTGGGGAAGGGAATGACCCCAGAAACCATGCCCGGTCTCACTTCAGGGCATCTCTTTTTCTCTTTTTTTTCCGGCCTGGAGTTTGGGAGTCCCTGTCGGCGCAGCCGGGATTGGTCAGCTGATGGGGTGGGGGGGATGGCCTGAACATCACGGGTACAACATGTACAAAATGGTTCAATGTGAATGTGAGCTTCCGCACATGCTGGCACTTTTAGACAATCTCGAATGGCTTATAGCTTTGCATACAAAGAGGTCTCAGCTCATCGAAGTCACAGTCTCAACGGCACAGATTCGATGCGCGCCTCCAAACACTTCTTCAGAGCATGGACTCTGTGCAAACGATAGCCGCGAAAACTACTTCGAACGTGGGCTTGCGAGGACTTCGCCTAAGAATGTTAAAGCAGGCCATAGCATGTTCATCAGTCGTGGCTCAGCGTAAAGGGGAATTGTGACAGTGGATCTCGACTCTCGCAGAATGCGTGTCCAGAATGAAAGTGAATGGAAACAAGAAACTTGATCAACTTGTGCTATAGAAGGTGCTCTTGATCTACGCCTGTACATATATATATATACACCTATATATATATATATATATTATGTCAATATACACACTACTTTATACGCAATGTTGTCACGACATGTCGTGACATTGTGTATGTGCAAACAAATGGCCCGCATGTCATATACACACCATCCACGACGCTGCAATCTCATGACCGATTCAAGACCAAATTGCCTCCTCAACTCTGATCCTTGAATCTCAACCAGCGTATCCCAGCGCCATACCAGCTCCTTTGCCCAGAACCTCCTGTTTGTGGAAGCTTGAGAGAGACGACCCCAAAGTAGAGTCAGCTGTGCACATGGAAAACCCCCAAATTGGACCTCTGCACTCCGGCCCGCGCGACTCGCTAACTTGGCTTGCTGGCGGAAAGGTGTCACGGTACAGCGTTGGGGCCTGGGCCATCCGGGGCGGACTAGACTTGGCCTCTGCCTCTGGGTGCATAGCGGCCATGGGAGAAAAAGGGCACCGTTTTTTTGGTTCATTGAGTTTCAAGGGGAGCCCTTATCAGAAAAAGAAGAAAAAGGGCATCACTGGGCAACTGGGCTAACTAAATCACTCTGCATGTTGTGTGTTTTTTTTTTTTTTTTGTTTTTTATGAATTCGTGCTGACAGGGGCAGGATCCTTCACTTGCCCGAGGTCGTGGCCTGCAACGTGCATCCTATGCATCGATGTTGAACGGCTAGTTGCAAAACGGACCCAACAATTCGACTCGGCGGCCCAAATCCAGAATGCCATGACAAGAAAATGGACCAACAAGGGGAAACTAAAAGGTCAAAAGGTCGGGTTCGGGCAAGTGAGAGTGAGTATTGGGAACCTTTGGGTTGGGTCTCTTCAGTTTCCATAAACAAAAAGGCATCAGGGGAGGGCTTACGCTGAGACGCCACCGATTTGCATGTTTGACGGGCTCGGCCCCCATGTCATGGTTACCCACTCCATACTGGTGGGGCAACAAAACCGGGAACGATGCGGGCACACGCTGCGGGCACACGGTCATCGCGATCTTATCAAGACCTCTACGGCTTAGAGGCGTGTCCTCTTCAAGGAAGTTGGTGCAAAAGGGAACCTTTTCAGGGATCCTTACATTATATACCTGAACATTGCCTTGTAAATGGTGGTTTCCCTTTTTTTGTGTGTGGAAAAACCATGTTTCTAATGGGCAAAATGTATCTTTTAATTTAAGGAGCCCTGCTTTTGAAAGCCCGAATATATAATGGCTCATGTCGCACCCGAAAGTCCTTTCTTGTAGGCACCCCACGCACCCCAAACCAGGTAAAGAATTGCAAGGGTGGGCATATGGGATTGTATGTGTTTTTTTTGGAATCGGACCGGGATCCAAGATGGATCCAAGGCGCTCCGTTTGGCTTCCCTTCAAAACAGACCCAAAAAAGAAATCGCGGATCCGAGCCTCGAAAACAAGCAGACCCATGTTGGCGCCATCTGGCGCCCGTGGGGCCCCCCACACATCGGGAGCTCAAGTCCGCCTGAATGGACGCGCGTGGCGCAGAACAAAACCCTCCTTTTTGGTAGGATTCGAGGCGAAACCAACCCAACAAAAATGCAATTTTTTTTGGGGGAATACCCTCAAAAACAGCTAGGTGTTGTGGGACCCCCTATTGCAAGGTACAGGGAAACCAAAAGGAAAACCAAAACATATATGAGTTTGGAAAGGGATCCCCTAAAAGAAGACACTCACCAAATATTGGCCATACCCTAACCTTTGTGGAACCAGGTAGAGGTGTCTACCCATGTCTTGTGGCTAATGGGGGGCGTTAGGCCGCGCTGAAATGGACTCCAAGCGCTGAAGAAGATCTGGCTGCTTGGAAACCTCCAATCTAGGTGGCAAGATTGAAATGTATACAGAATTATAGATGTATATGTATATGTGCATGTGTATATATATATATACATATGTATATATATATATACCGTACAATATTTATGTATGTATATACCTATATATATATATGATTCGTACTTAATTATCCCGAAAGCCAGCCGCTGAATCGCTACCTTTCTGGTTTAATGGAATCCAACTGAACAAAAAAACGAGTTGAGATTCGAATCACACAACAGCTGAGACCATTTTGGCGTTGTGCCCCTCAACGGTGTAGAGGGCCTACGTTGTGACCTTCGCCGAAACGGAGTTGCCATAGGCTGCTCTAATCGCCTACAAGTTGCTGTTCTTGCACATAGCTCCCCTTTTCCACAGAACTCATGCAGGCTCAATAGAGGTAGTTACTTTGGTCCCCAATTTAACCCCCAAATCATCATCCACAACCTAGGTCAAACTGTCAAACTAGCTCGAGCATGGTGCAGGGTTGCCCAGCTGCTGAAGGAAGAAAAACAAGACAATGTGTGTGGGCGCGCGCCTGTGCGTTTGCGTGATTTTTACAGAGTGTGCAACCAAATAAAAAAAAAAGCAAACGGGTGCCACTGAAAATTCTGCCACAAAATCCCCCCTCTCACCCCCTTCCACAGTTTCCCAAAATATGTTCATGGAGCCTTCAGGCCTCATTTTGAGGAAACCAGGAGAGGGTTCAGGGGAGGGGTCGAATCCTGAAACTGGACACCTAGGAGTATGAAGCCTATGCGCCGTGCTGAGAAGCTCCAGATGCCCCACAGGAGCAAAGGCGCAAAGGGAAATACGTCCACTTGGGACACCTTGGACTGCTTTCTGGGTCGATGAACACAAACGCTAGTGTATAACCCCAAATTTGGTGACCTAGCCCGAAATGTGATACCAAACAGGCTCAACCAATTGCCAAATGGGTGTGTGGAATGTAGGGGAACCTCAAAATGGATTTCGGTGTTCCTGCTGTTCCTTCAAAGCCACCCCCCAAATGAGTACCCTCAAAAACACACACACCTAAATGGCTACACCTTCTGCAAACAGAGTCTTCGGAACTCTCAGTGGGGCAGTGAAATGGTTGGTAGCCCTGCTTGCAGCTCACTCAACCAATTGTAGTAACCCCACGGCAATGCCAGTCACTTCTTGCACACGTCACATCCCAAGTTGGCTATGCCCCACGTCTCAATGGCTAGGGCAGTCAAACGCAGAACCAGGAATGCAAAGGTCCCAACACCGAACCAAGGTGCAGAAACGCTCTTGTTTTGATGAAACTGGGGGGGGGGGGGGGGGGGTGGGACTTTCTCGAACACCCATCCTTCCGAAGGCAAATGATCATGATTCACAAACTAGAAATAAGGAATGCCAAGCATAGTTACCTCATGTGGAATCGATGGTACCTGCTGCCTCGCTGCTCGAATCTTGTGCCCTTGGCCCTTGGCTCCCCGCCTCCAGGGACTTGGGTAGAAGAACGCTGCCCAGCGACAGGGTCAGGGCTAACTTGGGCAGAAGCCCCGGGTACCAGCCTGAGGGCTCAACACAATGGCACGGCACCCTTGCCCCTTTCGAGTCAAGTAGGGAAGGACTGGGGAAGCCCAGAAACCTGCCCGGGTTTTGGTTGCCCAACTTATCCTTCTTTCAAGCACTAACACCAACAGACACTATATTGGGAACACATATGTGTATATATATACACACATAGTTGGTGTGATTTATGGTCATTCCCGAACCAAGAAGAAATGCCAGAGTGAGGGGCCTTCACGTGGACAACATTTTGGTGGGGATTCATGTCCAACAATGATTTGAGATGTTCCTCCCCACTAACACACATAGCCACATAGCCAAAGTGCTTGCATCGCCTGATAGGTGTAAGGGCCTTGTCGTTGCCTTCCTGTTTTCAGACAGCAGCCTCAACCCAGCAAGACCGGGGAAGCGCATGAAGAGCACCGAGATTCATACCCAAAACAGGAACTAGGCCCGGCCCGGCAAAGAGTTCTCTGAGCAAGTGCTTGTGAGCAGTGCAGGCCGATGCCCTTACGTGTATACACCTTGATCTGCAAGTGATATATATATATATATACCCTCCCTTCCACTCACATGGCACCAGTGGGAGGGTACCTGGAAGATCATGTTCCTCTTGTAGGGATTTCCGGTCAGGTGCCATGTTAGTGGGAGGAAGGGTATGTATATATATATATATATTTGTAGATGACTTGACAGAAGGAAGGCTTCCCGGCCGAAAGGACCTCTGAGCTGCCAGCTGAACACCAGGCGAATGGACCCGCATGCTCTGCGGATGAGCCTCGATGCACGGACAGCGGACATCGGGCCATCGAGCTACGGGGGATGAGTATGGTTGGTGGCGGTGGGTGCTGGGGGGTCTGCAAGCAAAAAAAAAAAACGAAATCCAGCCATCCCCTGGCAGCTCCATCAACGCTCGCAGAACAGATGTAGGCCATTGCTATGTGACAGTGCCAACCTGACTCTAAGTTCAGACACGGGACATATTTTTGGACAAGCTGGATTGGGGCGTGGTCATGGGCGAGTCAGACATCTAAAGTCTCGGATGCCCTGGGAGCTCGCCTTTGACGCGATTCGAGATGGATGTCGTTTTGTAGGAGACACCGAAGAAACAAAAACGGCTTTCCGGTTGGTTTCCTTTAAGACCACAAAACAAGTGGGACTCTCAACAAAAATACATATCTGGAAAACGGACCAAGTGCGCTCAAATCTAGATGCGCAACCTCTTGATCTGTTTGGCAATCTAGTGGCTCGTGGTCACTCAGCCATCCTTTCCACGGTGGATGCCTTTGCTCCTTAGCCTCCTTAGCATGACCTACCCAAGTCAACATAGTATGTTCTGTGAATTCTGGCATTTACCTACACCAAAGAATCGATCAAGCAAAGGCCAAAGCAACTCGAGCGCAATTGTACGAGTCTCCGTGAAATTGACCGGAACGGAAAACAGACACCTACCCATCCATAGGCGTCCTTTTTGGGGAAATAGATGGCCCTGGTAGATGATTAAACCACCAGGTAAACCAGGGCCATCAATTTTCTACCTAACAACCAAAACGGACACCTATGCACCCATCCGTCCGTCCCTCTGTCTGTCCATCCCTCTCTCCAGCCAGCGCCAGCCTGCCATTGGAATTCTTTAAGCCTTAAGACACGGGCCCACCATCCTCTCCTCTTTCAAATCGATTGCCATGAACTCACCTAGGTCCTCCAGTAGAGAGGATAGAATCAGGGTACCAACTCTTTTCTGTAGTCTATTTTAGTAGGGGGACCCTCCTAACCAAAAAAGGGTAAAAGGGCACTACTGGGGGACCTAGATCATTGGAACAGAACAAGCTGGCCAACTTGTTAGCAAAGCCCTGCGGAAAGCTAAGTCTATTTGGCAACATAGAGTGCGTCGTTTTTGAGGCGACCGATTTTTTGGGTTACCCGCTTTTAAGGGGTCCCCTATTTTTGAGACACCCGTGAGTAAAACACTCAGTGATTTCAGTTCCCATGAGATAGGTCAGCATAGACTCGATAGCTTATGTGTGATGACCGCCGTCACCCAATATCCAAATGTAACGCAAGCACTGGGTCAAGAATATCCTACGGCTTTTGATCGAAGATTCACAGGGACATTCGTAACATTGTGCCATTTGCAGCTGGCATCTGGGACACACCCAAGACATGTTAGGAACAGGGCCGTTGCTGATCCACTTATATAGCATTCGTAGCCCTTATAGATTTGCTCTGCGGCATTCGTACGTCCTGCCCTGACAAAATGGGAGTGTGTCAAAACAGGGGGTTCCCAAGTTGATGGTATGGGCACCGATGGCAACTGTTGTGCAGTTCTGAAACCGGCTGCTTCTCTCTCACAATGTCTGTCTGTGTGTATTGAATTAACCCTTTGTAGTACTCAGCTGTATCTTTCGATTCTTTGCATTCGGGTTTTCAAGTGGTTAACTCAACAAAACTGTGGGAAACCAAAGATTGAACTGTGCATTCCCCAATGCTCTGAGCGCCGTTGCTCGCTCAGCTGAAGAGCTGAGAGCTGTCCGGTGATTTCCTCGGCAAAGCGCCGTTGGCTTGCCTTTGAACACCAACCCGTAAACCCGCAAGGAGTACCCTCACCGCCATTTGCGCATACGTCCCCTGGCAAAAAACGAAACAATATGTCCAGTAGTGATAGGCTCTTTTTTTGTCAACCCGGCGGAAGCAAAAACTATAGGATTATGCAAATGGAAGTATTGAAACAGACATGGGCACGTACAGAAAACATTCCAAAAGACAGATACTAGTAGTCTTCCAAAGGAGTGTGTGTGTGTGTGTGTCGTATGCATTTGTATTGTTTCGCGTGTGCGTGTGAGGTCATGTCTGTTCATGTGAGGAAAATTGAGGAAAGCATATTCCCAGACGCTCGTGGGCCGGGTCCGGGGCCCTCCTAGGGAGGGACCGGCCTGTTTGTCGGATACGGGGCCCTCGTGGTCCCCGGTGCCCAAACAACCGTCGGATAAGCGTCGGATAAGCGTCGGATAAGCGTCGGATAACCGTCCGATAGCGAGGGGGCCCGCGAGGGCCGGAACAAGTTGGGAGCGTCTGGGTTAAAGACCTCAAGATCCCAAAGAGTTTGAACCAAGGTTGTCGTTCGTGAGTACGGGCTCGCCTTCCCACAATTCCCGGTTCGCTTCCTTTTTGGAGCCATTGACATCGAGATGCCTCATTAGTTTACCATGTCAAAGTTAGGCTACTCATCCTAAGAGATAGTCAAAAGAGAACGCCCACCAAACCTCGGTTTCTGGCTTTGGCCACTCCAGAACAACTCAAAACCATGACACCAGTCACCCCAGTGTATATCAAACCCCGAACCCTCAAAACCCTTACTGCAGTCACAGCCTAAGAAAAAACCCTGTTTCTGACTTTGGGGTTCAAACAGTCACAAGAACCCTGCGTTCAATTCCAATGTGGTTATTAGATGAGCCTAGGGGATATCCCCAACAGCCCCAGAACCTTCTGGAACCCTCCAGAACCCGCCCTGAAAGTTGCCGCAAACCATTTCTTCTCGCCTATGTGGGCCTATCGACCTCATATCTCTCAGCCGGGGGAAACGCCTAAAATGCTGAACCCAGAACCATGTAGAGACTTACCAATGCGGCTATCCGGCACCCATTCATGGTTGAGACTATGCCTTTTGGTTCTTCTTCCCTTTTTTCCGGACTTGCCGTGTTTTTCTCTTCTTTTTCTGGATGTGGCTGATGTGGCTGTCGAGTGAAGGGCTTCGGCTTCCCTGCGCACCGCTGGGTCCCGGGGCCACCAGCACAAAGGTCACCGTGGAGTTCTGAAAGCCGCCGATGCGCTCCAGCGCCGACTGGCGGACTGACGCGCGCGCCGCGCGGCTGAGACTGGGGTGCGACGTGAAAAAAAAACCGCGGCCGGCGGCTTCCCAAGAAACATCCAGCTACCTGCCTGTGAAAAGGCCCAGACATGGTGGAGGAAAAAAAGGATGGAACAAAGACACTGTCACTACGAATGATGGAAGGGACATGCGACATCGTGCGAACATCCGGTCAGCTGCTGCGAAAGGGCCTGGTATGACTCATTGCATGGGAAACAAAACGCGATGAATCATTCCATGAGGACGAAGCCAGCTTTGACCGCAAAGTATTCTAGGCCTTCTCAAAATTGGGGGCCCCATCCAGGTGGCTGGTTTCCTGTTGGTTGCCTTTTCAAGTATTCAGCACGGCCCTCATTTCTGACACAGGCCTATTTGTAAAAAACAAACTCCTATACGGGTCATCCCATTCCACCAGCAAATGTTCCATCCACATTGGTATATCCAAAGAAATCCACAACATGTATAGCTATATATATATATATATATTATACATGTATATAATATACATGTATATATTGTATATGTCATGTATTATGCACTCAGCCACGTAAGGAGTGGCCTAAGTCAAGCGGAAAAATCCCAGGGAACCAAACCACCATCAAAGCCGGGGACCGCTCTGCAAACAGAAAGGAACCAACCACAGGTGCGTTGTGCAATACGGAGACCCCCCCAAAAAAATGGCTTTGGCGTACTTGCGCAGTCGTTGGGTTGCAACCCAACAAATCGGAAATATGGATGTGTGCGGACCCCAATAATTTTATTGGATTCTTTTTGGCTTTGCTGTGTTCACCACTCCAAAAGGCGCACCATCAAAAAAAACGAGCCGCCCAAAGAGGAAAGGGATGACTAAGGTATGCGTTTTAAGTTCAGGGACCCCGGATGTTGGTCTATTGAACGGTAACATTGATTCATAGCAACCAGTTGGAAGGGTCCCTAGTTTGGAACCAAATGCTCCAAACAAGACTGGTTCTGCGAAAACCAGGTGAAAGTGCTGTGCTGCACTGGTGTCCGTAGGGACCCTCTGTTAAAGGAACCCTGGTAGCATTATGTGCGGTCCAAAAGGGTCCTTGGTTTTGCTCTCTTGCCCAAAGGGCCCGGAAATTAAAGGTCAACCTTGTCGAACCTTGACAAAACATGAACCAAAAGGGGAACACCAAAAGGTCAAAAGGTTGGGTTTGGACAAGTCAGTTTGACAACCACCCATGCCCAAGTTGCTAACCACATACTAATTTGGGCCAACATCCAAGTAGCGAGTCGAACAGACCCCTTGGAACGCTGGCAAAGACACAACTTGCTTCAATGGTCAATGAACATACTCTGGAGACTGAAACGGTACGCGCAGGAACGTTTGAGGAGTGCGACTCAAGCAGCACTATGCATGAAGGTCATGCCAGAAGCATGCCTGTATTCAAATGCGACGGTGGTGAGGCGAGGGTCGCAAACAAACCTATACGTACGAATGCACATATACCTTCGCGTGTGACCAGCATTAAATGTACAATGTGCATACAGTGCACACACACAATCACCACACATTTAGACCTAGGTATATGCACATGAGAGACTCTCCGATTGAAGGTGAGACCCTGTAAATATTTGATTTCCTCTTGGTTTCCCTTGCATGTCAAACATCCTACGACATGCGTGTGTGTGTGTGTGTGTGTGTGTGTCCAAGACTCAAAGTGACGGAGCCCCGAAATGGGTGGTTTCCTCTTGGTTCCCTTAAAAGCAACCCCCCCAAAAGGGGCGAAACAACCAGGACGCAAAGAACACGGACACCCCCACCGCCGGAAAAACGGACGCCCCACCCAAAAACGAGCACTTTTCCACCCACCACCCACACCGCCGCATGCACCTGCCGTCCGGTCCGAGTCCCCCCACAGCTTCTGCTGGAAACTGTCCAAAAACGGTTTAGGCACAGTTTGAGCCCATACTCAGTTACTACAAGGGCCGCCAGAATTAGAAATGGGGGGAAGTATGGGCTACTTCAAGGTCAAATTTGATGATGATTCCACCACCCAGCCGCATGCATCTGCCGCCGCCCCCCCCTGCCCCAAAGGCACCTCGAAGCAGAACCGCTCCACCGCCAGCAGCTCCAAGGAGAGGCGCGTGCGCTTCACGAGGCCTCGTCTGAGTCACTTGCTCAAAACCCGATACTAAAACGGTCGACCCAGAACCATGTAAAGAACCAGTTTCAAGTTGTTCAGCCCACATGAGTCACAATCAAAACCCGTTACTAAAATGGTCGACCAGTCGACCCAGAACCATGCTTCAAGAATCAAGACGGCCGCTGCTATTTATGGTTGGGATTGTCCTTTCCTAACCTTCATCTACCCCGGTTTTGAGTGTGGCTCTCGTGAGGGCACCGTGGCAGGGTGGAATTTGGGGCACCAAATGCACGGCTGGAGTCGTGCATGCGGCTTTTCCATTACATACTGTGGATGGAAAAAATCCATTTCGCACCACTTTGAATCCATGGGCAAAGTATTTGTTGGTATTTACGGGGGAATCATCCTTTCAGGGCTTCTTAGGTGGTGCAGGATTTCGTCCACCGACAGTAGTAAACCTCTATGTATCCGTTGTCACTAAATGGGTCTGGGTCTTTGATGCCAAACAACTTATCTACTTAAGACTTCTTAAGGCACCCTTTGTGCATGGAACGCGGCAAATCTGGCGGGACCCCTAGAGGAAAACCGCATTTCGAAACCGTACTTCGGTGGGCACGGTGGTCTTTTAAAGGAGAACTAGCATGAAACACTTGCCGTTCGGGAGTTCCGTTTGCCTTGTCACCTTCCCACATGGATGCTCGAAATCCAACATGCGGGGCCACTGATCCGAATTGAACAAGCTAGCATCACCAAAAATGCACTTCGGAAGCCCTCCCAAACGTCAAACAGCTTGTAACGTAGTGGTCCCTCTTTGGTTTTCACAAACTGGGGATCCCACATACATACATATTATATGGCCATGTGTCAAAATCCCGAACCCCCAGTGAACATGCCAATCCCCACTAAAATAGACTAAAACCTACCTCAAAATAGTACCATTGGTTTTGACCCACGGCCATATATATATATATATACATCAAGAGAAAGAGAGTGGGAGAGAGAGAGAGGGAGAGCGTCGAGCCCTTTTTTGAATTGGCCAATGCGGGTTTGGGCCCTGCACAGCTGCAAAGTGAGGATATCTTCGCGAAGAACTGTTGCCACATTCGGTTGCTTGGCTAAAGCAGTACGTAGTTGATGGACACATGTGGTCCGAAATCGGATCTGCGCATAGTACATCAGAATGAAGCAAAACAAAGCATTCTTAAGCAAACTCTCGCCTGAAGGGGAGAAACCAGCCGGCTGGAACATGATTTGCTCGGTTTCATCAGCGGGGACTTTATCTGCCCGACCTCCACACATTTTTACAGGGCTGTCCCACTGACTGCCAGCTGCCTCTCATAAAACGGGAAGACTAAATGTTAGCGACCCTTCAGCTTGCAGTGATCAGGTCATGGTTCAATACCATTGCTCACCATCATTCCACCTGAAGGCGATTCTTTTTCCAGCAAAGGGCCTACATGATGGGTAGGTTGCGAAAAGGGGACGGCCCAACACCTCCAGTGGCGAGAAAATGTCCACCTTTTGTGAGTTGATTTCGGCGAGTTGATGACCTGGTCCTTCACACGGCATGACCACTGGGTAAATCGACCAAGAAGTACAACCTTCCCCGTGGGAAGAGCTTCAAACGCAGGTCATGTGGGGCCATGAAGACTGACCAATGTATCTCAAATTGTGCGCGAATCCGACTTGTTGCGCGGTAGATCAAGCTCTTGTAAGCCCTTGAGCCCAACACATACGTTGATCAGCCCTATACTGAGATCTTAGCTGCAGAAGTCGCCCAGCACAGCACCAGGCAGGACCTTGGCCCGCGCGCGCGCGCGCTGGTTCACGCAAGACAGGGCACGCGCAAAGGTTTATTGTACAAGGATTTAGACATAGGTGCATGTATGCATATGTATGCATATGTATATACATATATACATTATATCCCATATGTACATAAACAAATGCGTATGTGTGTAAATATATACATATACGCGCATACGACACATGTTGTTTGCAGTGCCGCTGGGATACACCAAGCCGTCATTCCCGTGTTGTCCTTTCTTGGGAACCACTGCATCCATGCCCGCACCCTCTCCAGCCTTGAAAAATGCCCTTTATTTTGGGTAATGACCCCATTTTAAAGGGTGATGGAGACTGCAGGTAGGCGTCGCGATTGAGGTTGTTTGTGCACGTGCGGAAGAGCCGAATTCACGCTCAGGGCCACTTTGCTCCTCCCGCTTCTCACCAGCAACGGCCATCCAAAGGCGCTCCGAATTGTTTGACATAGAGCCGTGAATGTGTCAAAACAAGGGAGACCTTGGACAAGGACTGGCTTTTGAAGGGAAGCAAGAAAAGCCTGACCATGTCTCGCTCTTGTAAAGCCCTTTTACAGTCCAACTGGTGTTTTCCTCAACTAGGGGACTGTTGAAACTGTGTGTTTTCCTTTTTTGCTTTGAACATCTGAGTCACGCCCAAAACCTGGTAGTAATGGGGTCTACCCAAAGCCACCATTAAAAAATCCAAAGGATGGCTGTACAATTTCGTGGGCTGTACAATTTCGTGGGACTGACTTCAACCAGCTGGGCTTCGATTGTGGCCCACCTGCCGTTAGAACACATGGCCCACGGACATGAGCCAGCTCTCTCTAAGAATGCATCCGCGAGATCTGGGAGGTCTTGGAGGGCGTTCGGAGACGGGACTCGCGTGACCCTCTGCGGACGTTCGATGCTCCAAAACTCCAGTTGTCGTTTTACACGTTCAGCGCAAGAGAAAGAGGAAGAGTAAGAAACCGATATAATGAGAAAAACAAATACAGAAAGCGAGAGAGAGAGAGAGAAACAGCGAAAGAGAGAAAAAGAGAAAGAAAGAAAGAAATAAAGAAAGAAAGAAAGAAAAAACAAGAAAGAAAGAAAGAAAGAAAAAAAGAAAGAAAGAAAGAAAGAAATAAAGCAAGAAAGGAAGAAAGGAAAGAAAGGAAAGAAAGAAGTAAGCAAAGAAAGGAAAGAAATGAATAAACAAAGAAAGGACACAAAGAAATAAAGAAAGAAGAAACGTAATAAAGAAAGGAAAGAAAGACATAAACAAATAAAGGAAATACATAAAGAAAGGAAAGGAAGAAAGAAAGAAATAAATAAAGAAAGAAATAAACAAAGAAAGAACGAAATAAAGAAAGAAACTAAAAATAAAGACACAAAGAAAGACAGAAATAAAGAAGGAAAGAAAGAAAGAAAGAAATAAATAAAGAAAGAACGAAATAATGAAAGGAATACAAATAAAGAAAGACACAAATAAAGACAGAAATGAAGAAAGGAAAGAAAGAAAGAAAGAAAGAAAGAAAGAAAGAAAGAATGAAAGAAAGAAAGAAATAAATACAGAAATAAATAACAAGCAAAGACAGAAATAAAGAAAGGAAAGAAAGGAAAGAAAGGAAAGAAAGGAAAGAAAGGAAAGAAAGGAAAGAAAGAAAGAAAGGAAGAAAAAAAAACTTTACGAGATCAGCTGACTGCCCCTCTGTATCTCCCCCTTGGCAATGCAGCCAAACACTAACAAATCCTCAGATCTGATCTGAGGATAACATAAACAAAGAAAGGAAATACAGAAAGAAAGGAAAGGACAAAAGAAAGAAAGAAACAAATAAAGAAAGAAAGAAGCAAAGAACGACAGACAGAAAGAAACAAAGAAAGAACCAAAGAAAGAAAAAAAGAAACAAAGAAAACAAAAGAAACAAAGAAAGGAAAAACAACAAAGAAAGACAGACAGACAGACAAAAAGAAAGAAAGAAAGAAAGAAATAAATAAAGAAAGAAATAAATCAGATTCTCTGAGGTTCGTGCAGCCGCCAAGCAATCGTTGGGCCCTGCCAGCAGCAGCTGCAGCAGAATGTCCTAATCCAGTCAAGAGGGGGTTCTCAAAGTAGGGGTTCCCGACCCTCCATTTGCCTTCTGCAAAAAAAACATATGTCCAATAGTGATAGATTCCCTTCAACACCAACAGGGAAAAATATAAATAAAACATATTCTTAAGCAGATGAAAGCTGCAATCTTTGCTTCCTTCTGTCCCTTGAATGTCAACCGGGTCAATGTGAGATCCGCCCAACTGGACCTTGGCCATCTGATGCGCAACTGCCAAACCATGGAAAAGCCTGCGCACTGCAATCCTGGCTCCCAAAGCGAGGGGCGACATCTCAATATGTGTTTTCTTTGTTCAAAGGAAAACCATCTGGTGTGACTACAAGGAAAACCACCATAGGTAGGCCCAACTCACCGTGCTAGCTTCCAGCTGTTCCCAACCGTCCCAGCCTGTCAATGGCAAGTGCTGGCTAGCTTTGCCCAAAGAATCATGTCCCTCCATTGGCTCGAGCACCCTGACAAAATATATCCAGTAGTGATAGATTCCCTTTAAAACCACCAGATAAAACATACTCTAAGCAAATGGGAAGTGTCTGCTTCCTCAAAGGGTTGCCTTGTCGAAACACACCCTTGCAGGCTTGCGTCCCAAAGTGCTTCTTGGAGATGCGGCTCTTGCAAGAGCACGATCGATAGTTCCGCGCCATCACACTTTTGGGCAGATCAGATATGGCCATGAATTTTACTGGGGCAACCCTTTGGTGGGCATCATTTAGGTGGAGATTCATGTGCGCCAACCGTTGAGGAGAGTGGTCCCCATGGAAGTTCATAGCTGTAGAGAGTTTGACATGTACAAGCTCTGCCATCCTTGCTGCGCTGAAGGCTTCCACTGATTCGTCGGAAGGTCTAACCTGTCTGCCCTTGCCAGGTCCGGTCCTTGACTTCTGGCAGCACGTCGCCATCCCTGGACACAGACCTCGGGTCAGTGCCGGCTGATGGGGCCGTCGAAGCTGAACTCATGGAAATTGACATGAGCCCTGTGCAACCCGTCATTTTGGGTTTGTCTCAATGGGGGACCCTCAAAATTGGTGGTTTCCCTTTCGTTCCCATTTAAAACCCACTCAAAAAATGGCACCCTCAAAAAAGACACCCCGATTTTGGAGAAGCCTCTGCAACCTAGTCTCTCTCGAAGCTAAGAGCTCTGTTCGCAATGTAAAATTACACGCAGCTTTTGCATGGAGGTATCACAACGAGTGTGTCAACTCGGAGAGACGGCACCGACATATATCCATCTGTGATGTCGGGCCAAAGCTGCTGTCTGCCCAATTGGATTTGTCACTCTCGTGTTTTGAGGGTATGCTTGTCAGGTAGGTTTTGAGGGAACCGAAAGGAAAGCCAAATTTTGTGGGGCCCCTCCAAAAAGACACCCAATTGCCGTGCCCTTTGGGCGACATGCACTAGCGCAGTCCTCCAAAAGCGACAACATGAGTAGCAACAGCCCCCGAATCAAGGCCAACATACCAACATTTATTTGATGTTGGTGATGATTATATATATGTAACATATTTATATATATATATATATGTATCAATGAATGATTCAGACCCATGAATCTTCAACATTGCGTACTGGCCGCTGTCATGCTACTCGACATCACGCGACCAAGCTCTTCCGGCCAGCCCAAACAACACTCCTTCACACAACAGTTACCTGCCCTCCTCGATACTGACACAACACCTGAAAGTCACAAGGGATAAAAAGTATACATAGCTAGGGTTGGCGTCTGATTATTGATGCAAATGCAAAGGGATATACCTGATTTCAGTGCGGATAGCCATACCCACATGTGCTCACCTTTTCACGCCCTGATCACTTCTGTGATACAACAAAAAGGACTTCCCAAATACTAACCCCTCATAAACCTTTGGGGCTTTCCCACAGGGACCCTTGCCCCCTAATGAGCCATGAATAACACAAGATAGCAAGAAGACAATAAAGTACTAAACAGAAAGGTCAAACATCTTAATGATACAACTGAAAGGATCAGACATCCATTACTCTCATGTTGAGTATTGATTACTTTGTAGTACTAATGAACGGTCATTTACAATCAATCATATCCTTCTCCTCTGTCGTTTTTTGGAATCTTGATTGATTAAACAAGTATTACAATTGGTCTCTGGAGTATTCTCAGGTGAATATAAGCATATATATATATGTATATATGGGTGTGGGTCAATATTCTGGTGTGGAACGTTCCGCGGTGACGCGGACGTCTGGAACGAGTCAGTTACGCAAGGTTGGTTGTTCCGGAC